ATACATTTATACATTATATTAACATATAAGGAAGTAGGTGGAATCAGCTAGAGAATATTCATAGAAAATGGTAGAGGAAAAGAGAAAAAGTTGAGAAAAAATATAAATGATGATTGTAGGTTTATCACTTACTTAGCCCTTATCTACACAAGATAGATTTTATTTGAACTGTCATAAATATCAAGTTAGTATGGTGCAAAAGCCCTGCATAGACACTTGTTCTAATTTCAGTTTAAGAATTATTTATTTCAGTTTATCTTAATCGAATTCCCAATTCTTAAACTAAACAGAAATAGGTCTCAGGGGGGTAGACATATTAGTCTGTAACTTTAGAAACAATGAGCAGTCCTGTGGCTCTTTTGAGACTAAAATATACCATAATCAAGAGCTTTTGCGGGTAAAACCCACTTCAAGTGAGTTGGAGTGGAAATTAGAGATCTGTAATTTCCACTCCAAGCCTGTGTTCCTGCTAAGCTGCATGGTAGCATGGCCCCGCAGCTGCTGAATGAGTCCTGCCCAATCGTGCACAGAGCTGCTCTCTGCAGAGGACAGAGTCTCTTCCAGCCAGGCAGCTTAGAGAGAACATTGCTCCAACCCATCTAATAAAATGGGTTTTATCCATGAAAGCTCATGATGTATTTGATAGTCTGTAAGGCAATGTCTACGCTACAAGGTAATAAACCTGTTTTAAATCAACATAAGAGTGTACCCAGGGGATTGAACCATTTTAACTGAATTGGTTCAGAATCACACCTTTGTCGTGTACCTAAGACCTTAGTCAGTAAACTTTTTGGATCAGGCAACATCTTTTGTTTGTTTGTTTGAAGTTTAGCATAATAAGGCTGATAGCTATACTCTACCATAATACAAATAAACACTATCAACAATAAGGGTAAAGCAGAGGACAGTGAAAAGTAAATCATGCAAATTTTAAGGGAAGACTTTTCTCAATCGTTTCTATATTTTAGCACAAATTACAATTTCAGAATTTGGGGACGGCAAACAATTAATGCTTTGGAAATTCAGAATGACATGAAATATTCTATCCTTGTACAGCTCGTTTTCACATGTTTGCATTATAAACTTTCATCCTTAAAATGTGGTTACAGCTGTTGATGTAGAATTTCTAGTTTGCTGCAGGATTCCATAAAGCAATTACAGACAACCAGGAGGACCTTGGGTCAGAAGTGTTGCCCGATTTGCTGCAGAGCACATGGGACAATCAAGGGGGGGGTGTTGTTTTTTTCTTTTGACTATGAGCAGGAGGAAAATGTTTAAAGCAGAAAAATCTCATTGATTTAAAAGGGAATCTAGCAATTTAGAAGTGTGCAGTTCACCTGAAAGACAGATTTTACCCTTCTCTCCTGTTTCTAAGAAAGGCATGATGATTCCTGAGCTGCTACAAGAGGCAGAGGATCTCATCAAAAAATTACCCGGTTCTCAAGTAACATGGAAAACAATCTTGAATAAAGATCTTATGGGACACAGAGAAATACATTTTAGCAGAGATGTATAAAATACACTTGAAAAACTGTGATGTATTTGAATAAGGAGAAAGAATACTGAACATAATTTGTTGAAATAAAAACAGCCTCTACTTGCAGAGAGTATAAAATATCTGCATCTTTTTTTCCCCTAAATCCCCAAAAGCTATGCAAATGTAACAGTATCAATATACAAAACCATAACAACTACTGTCAACAAACAACCTCACTGGGCAATTGTTTAACAGCACACTAACATTTTAAGATAGAAAAAGAAAAATAACATCCAGTGGAAACTACAGGGGAATAATTAGACCAAATAAACAGCAATTACTCGAGCTGGAAGTTAGCCAGGATCACTGCTCTTGCTAGATGTGCCACAGGGTGTTTAATGACCACAAGCACCACTGTTTGCAGACCCTGGGCCTTACACCCAAGTACTAACCTTGTTTGACCCCACTTAGCATGAGATCTGACTGGTTCACAGTATAATAAAGAAGGTGGACTTTTTAGGCGTGTGATTTCTACCTCTGTTTCCCACACTGCTATCAAAGTGCACCACAATCATTTGGCTGATCAGCATAATGTGACCACTAATGGTTAGTGGGTAGAATGAGTAAAATGTTAGAGTAGGCAGTGTCCTCAAGCAAACTTCCTGTAATTCTTTCAGCCTTGGTCCCAGTAGGAATTTCCCCAAGTATGTTATTTTTAGAATGCTTTTATTCCTCCTCAGCATTTGGATACAAGTATGCATAATTTGCCCAATGAATTTCTCCCACAGACTTTGTAAGGTACTAAATTGTTAACTGAAGTTATTATTTGTATAACAAAAAATACAGTTTCAGCTTCATTTTAATGGATTGTACAACAGAAGACTTGGGCCCAGATTTCTCTAGCTTGCACATTACAAAGTTAAGCAACACCTGCGCAAAATGGATCTAGAACCTCAGCACCACTGTGAGCAAAGAATCTGGACTTAAAAATATTTTACACTCACTGTTTTGCATCAGACTGTAGGATTCCCTCAAGGGAGCCCACATCTACTCAAATATATAGGGGGGGCGATTGCCTACAGCAACAAAATATTCTCTGGCCATTTCTTGTTTGAGACTGTAGGCCTGGGACAAGATTACATTTTGGAAGATTTGTTCATTAAATGAACACCATAGAACCAGCTCTGTGATCTGTTACAGGATACCAGAACCCAATGATAGTACTTCATGACCTGGGCCAATAACTTCACAGCCGACAATAAGTCTTAATATTGTCTTGCAGCCTGCCATGTCCCAAATGACACTTGTACACTCATCATTTTCACATATTGCCATTGGCCAGGCCATTTCCAGGGAGACCGTTCCACACTCAGGTTTAGCTCCAGAGCAACCTGTTAACTTACATGTTTTTAAACACTAGTGAATTTTCTCTACTTTAATGCTGATTTAGTAAATGGATACGTTTGTTGGGAGTAGTAGTTAACATAATATGTTCAACATTATACTGCAACAAACATGTGGCCACCTAGACCTTCTTAATTGGTAGATCATTAAGGCAGAGCTGAGATATTCCTGCTAGATATTCCTGCTCCATAAGCACAAACTCTTAACCCATTAACTGGAGAATTACTGTCAACAGGAAAGGGCCTAGCACAAAGTCAAGCAGTTCTGATTCCATCCAGTAGAGGGAGTACTATACATGTATTTTTACTTATAAAGTTACCAACTTAATTATATGTAGTCACATGTTCAGTCATTTGCATCCACAGAATGAGGACACATGGGGAAAATAATATGTTCCCATGGTTTGAACCATGGGGAAAAGAATGTGTTTGGGGCAAAGATTAATACTGGGTAGTTGAAAGTTACTAGAATAATATATGACAGCGAAGATTTGGAAGAGGAACAATAAACTGATTCTTATGTTTGAGGGGCAGCTGTATTAGTCTGTAACTGAGTAAACGTAAAAAAATGACAAATAGTTTTGCAGCACCTTAGAGACTTCAACAGATGAAGTAGGTTGTGCCCCCAAAAGCTCAAGTTACCATCTACATTTTTTGTTAGTCTCTAAGGTGCTGCAAGACTATTTGCTGGTTTTTAAGTTTATTCTGATTCTTATGGGTTTTTTAAGACAAAAAACTTAAGATCAATTTGTGTAAATGATCAAACCTTCTTCGTAGGAGTTGCCGTTACTTTCACTGGAACCTGTACTACTGAAGAAAAGGCACCTTATTTTAATATAACTTTTGCAAGTATGATTAATCATTTTGCTTTTGGAAATAATGACTCCTATGAGTAAATTGTAGACATAGGACTGGATCACAGAAGTCAAAAATCGACAGAGAAAATAATTAAGATGAATTCTTTCATGGGAGTCCCACTCTCCACATGCTTCTGGGAGAAAAAAATCCCATTCTTAAAGGCCTATATTAGCATGCTATTTTTTTTTTAAACCCTGATTGATTTTCATCCATTGCTAAGAGGTATCTTTGGCTGCACTACTCCTTTTCACTGTTCAAAGAAATCCCAGAAGTTATATATTAATGTAAACAGAACATTTTGTGCCCTTCTGCATGATGCAAATATTTTCTGTGATGGGTGTACCTTCTCCACTACAGAATCTATGCAGTTGTTACAGTGTTTGGGTTTAACACCAAGATCTACTTCAAAGGAATTCTACAGTCATTTCATAGCATGAACAGAAACAAAGATGATGAAACGGATTCTATCAGTCAATTTTTTTTAATTTGAATAGATTTTTGTACTTATGAAAGAGAGAAGCTAACCACATTCATTAGCACCAGCAATGAAGTGAGCACAATGCTGTGAAAACTTTCATGGTACAGCTCAGTTCTAGCATAAAGCATCTTTTTATTTTTCCAGAATTCATACTCGGCTCAGCAGAAATGGATACATGTGACTACATATATGAACAAATAAGACTGATACATTTGTATGTGTACTGTTAGACTGAAACAAGGGACAACAACCTTCATGCTTCTGATCATAAGTTGATTTTATGTGGGAGCCAGTAAATAGTTTTCTTTTGTGGCACTACAAAACACAAGGCATTGTGGAATGGAAGGTGAAGTTTCCTTTGATACTGCTCATACGGCAGCTCTTATGTTACGATATTGGATATATTAAGACAATCACACTCAGTGCACCTGTAGCCTAAAGACAGATTTGCAAAGGAGTTTGAAAAACAAATATGGTGCATTCAAAATATTACCACTTAGCTGTAATTGCCTTTCTGAAGTAAATATAGTGCAGTCATTGCCTTAATTTACTGGATTACTTGAAAAAGTCTTTAAGTAAATTCCTTGCACCACACACAGCAGAAACAACACCCTTTTCCCAAGAAATTCTGTTTTCAGAGGATTCACAACATAGCCAATCCATTTCCTGAGCAGATGACTGTGTGGGTTTTTTAGAACACTGATGATAAGTATGTGATTGGTATCCAAGAACTCCTTTACACCACTAGCATTTTGAATAGTATGAAAATCATTTTCACTCTTACCAGAAAAGACACTGGGAATCTTGGAAAGAAAACTTTTGACTGTACGAATAGGAATCCCATTTTTCTCATCCTGCATGCGTGCTATGACATCTTCCATCTGAACGTAAAGAAAAAAATTAACACAGCATTAGTTCCTAGCAAAAATCTATTATCTGAAAAACCTTAATTTAGCTGCTTAGGCCTGGGCTACACTAGACCAGGCAGATTGATTTAAGGTGTGCAACTCCAACTATGCATATTTTGTAGCTGGAACTGGCTTGCCTTAAACCGAGCCATGGTGGCATCCATGTAGGGATAACATATTAATGTATTGAAAATGATTCCTCCAAATGGAAGTGACTCCCCATAATTTGTTCCCCTCAACTTAGTGTTTAGATTTATTATTAATTCTTCTTATTATTATTATTTGTTAAGATTGTTAAATGTTTAGATTTATTATTATTATTGTCCCTTTAGAATATAATATATTAGGTCATGTAACTTAGAACTGTTAAAAATATAATCCTAACTGTTAAGAATATAATCCTATGTAACCAGAAACAGCCCCCCCCTCTGTGCTCCAGGGCATGCTCAAGCTTGTGCAAGGGGCTGCTTGAAATTGACATTGCAGAGATACATTGTAACAATGCATTGTCAAGCCACTAACTCTGCTATGGGAGCCAAGCCCTGTAATTGACTTAAGGGCATTGTTACTTAATTGAGGCCTGTTCTCTTTAAAACATTGTAACTTTATTCAGCACTCAGAGAATGTTTTAAGCAATACCACCCAGAAACTTTCTGTAACTACAACTTTTATTATTATACAAAATACTGTATGAATGTATGAGAGAGTGCTTGGATGATGAGTGAATGGTTCTGAGAGGTGCCAGCCTGAGAATACAGCAACAAAGGGCTGAAGAAGGCGTCAGGTGCCAGTGCAACCAAAAGGTGTCAAGTGGAGAAACTGGAGGTCCACCCGATGAGATCACTGATGAGCACCTGGCAGCCACCCTGGAGACATAAGCATGATATAGCAATTTCCATAGACTGGCATAGGAAAAAATTCCTATAAGAACTGGACTAAAAAACTATGGAATCAGAGTCCAAGGTTCTGCTGCCAGCCTACCAGGAGCTTCAGATGCGCATCTGATCAGGACTTCGCTCCCCACTACCATCACTTGTGTACAGAGTACCTGGCCAGTATCCTGTCACAAGCAACTTCCAGGCTGGTAACTATACACAGAACTTGAATGAATGGATGTATGAATGAATGGTTATATATATATATATAATATACATACAAGTGTATAAGGGTTAAGTAGTGTTAGGAATAAGTAGTTAAACAACGTTGTTTGCTTCTATCTTTTCTTTATTTTTTATTATTATCTTTACAATAAATGTGGCTTTTTGCCTTATCCCCCTCATAAGATCCTGCTTGCTTTTATTTGGTACAACATCCACACAGCAGGAGGCTGATGGGAGCACACACAGAACAAGGAGTACTGGATGCTGGTGGGGTCTATGTTACATCCGCTAAAACAAACACTATAAGATTGACCTCTAGAGGGTCAGTCTTCTCCCTAGAGTAGATATGCCCTCAGAAATGAGGACCCACTACCTTTGACATTTTCCCCCCAATAATTTCATTTTTTTATTTGAAAAGAAAAAACACTGCAAGCTCTTTATTTAAGAGTAACATTAATACAAACAGAGTTTGTGCTCTGACAATATGTGACAGAAATGCTGAGGCAAAGCGGGGAGATTTCATTCAGAAGAGATTACAAATCATTATTAGCGAGAGTCTCACATTCTACATTATGCTATTGTACCCAACACAAAAGAAAACAGTGGCTTTTAGAGCATCTATCTAAACTCCCCCTCCCAGAAATGATTCTAAAATGGTGCCTGTGATTGTCTCACTCAGGTCGCTTAAAAGCTGTAAAAGCTTTTTTTCCTCCATTCAAAAGTGTAAATCCTCAACTTAAATGGAAGTTCTGGTGCTCACTCCCTTGCAGGAAAAGACCCATGCAGTCTTTTTTGGTAATTGAGGACTATATCAGAAAAGCTATTTGAAATATAAAATGAAGCTTTTAAGTCAATACTAGGCTATATTCCCACTTCTCTCTTGAGAAGAAGAGAAAGGACAAAAGTTCATGGTGAGATTTGCCTCCATCTGAGACAGTACAGCCAGAAATGCAAGTTGTTCTCCTGGTAGTGGCTGGCCAAGAAAAATCTTCAGCTTTTTTGTATTATTATTTTGGGTACTTTTATTGTATTAGCTAATTTATGCCTGACAAGGTTTTATAACCCTACTGGACCTGTACTTGTTTCAATTCAAGCCAGATCTAAACTTCTGTTGGCTACAAATGAAAGGATGAGCAAGCTCTTTTATGAGGGTATCATGCCAAAATTCTGACAGGCTGATCAGTGGATAACTTATACGTGGAATAAAATATCACAAACTTTATCCTGACAGATAGTAAATAAATAAAGAGATACAAGTTAGACTAATTTCATTTGCATATTCTTAAAAATACACAAATTAAACAATCTGTTAAAGAGTTTGCCCCTCTGCATTCCTTCATCTTCATTAGTACTGGAATTCAAGCTCTTTAGTTCTCTATGCTAAAGTACACTTTATATTCTTTTTATTACAGAGAACACTTGGAGACCTTTTTACTGACAACACACATGCATCATACATGGACAACTCAAGAGCACATAGGTCCAGCTCTATGAGCAAACATATGTCCACACACAAGATATGCGCTATAAGTCAAGTGCATAGCAAGACAGGAAAGACAAAGACTAACGGTTTCAGCTGCAGGTTATTCAAAATGTGACTCCAAAGAAAGGAGATGTTCATTTTATTTATGAACAGTAAATGAAGTCAAAACATGATCTCTGGATACACATTCTTTAAAGAAAAATTGGATATTAAGAAGTGACAAAGTAAATAGAAATAGAGTAACAAATCACCTGAGAGTTGGGATCTGGTCCTACACTTCTATGCAAAAAATAAAGAATATCCTGTTCCTACTGAAGTCAAGGGGAAGGCTAATGTTAACCTCACCGGCAATCCAGAAGGAAAAAGAAAAAGCCTGTCGGCTTTAGCATAAGAATTTCATTTCAGGTTACACGTCCATTTTCAACTATGGTTGCATAGGTCTCCCACTGAAGTAAGTAAAACAACCAGAAGAGAATCTGGCCCTACAATGGTTCTATTGCATGTGGCTCAGAGGACTCTGCAGTGTGTTATTACATTTCCAGCTCAGAAATGAACATACCATGTGCAAAACATTGCTGAAGCTCCAAATATCAGCATTGTGGACTGACTGGCTCTCTCAGTATGCATTGGTCATAGTCTTAGTGATCTTGGGTGTTCTGAAACTAGGTACAACAGAACACCTGCTTCCTAATTTGTTACAACAGAGCTGGGATTCCTTGCTTGTGCTGAGTTAGATTAGAAAGCCTAATTTGTCTCGTCTCACAAAAAAAGAAAAAAGCACGAACAATGGATTTTTTTTAGATAATCACTGTACAATATCATGTCTATCATCTCAAGAGAATCTAAAGCAGAAGACTCCAAAACATCTAATTCAATACATCTCCGAACATAGCTCAATTCCCAGTGTGTACAATCCCATTTTTCCCCTTGTTTTGCCTGTTTTAAATTCAGCAAATGTATAATCTTTTCCATTGCAAAACATTATGTCCTCGTTTAATTATATTTGGGAAACAGTCCTCACAACACTTCTCCTCAATTAGTCATCAACATTGACTAAAACAATACAAAGGACAGAATAGCTTAATTAGGGAGATAAAAGAAATCCTCTCCATATTTTGATCGAGAAGTCTAATCTGGGAACACAAGAGGCTGTTTGACATAACAGCTTTTCTTCTTGATGTGTCATAGTTTGCTATTCAGTACTCTGAAGAGAGTGGCAAAAGTGAAGAATAAGCTATTTTGCCTTGCTTCTGTAGTAGCTTCTTGCTGTTCCTTTATTATCTGTGTATTGGTTTAAACCAGACTAGCTTTGACAATGCATTATTAGTGTTAATCTTTATTTACAAAGCCAACAAAAATGGGGGTGATGGATTTTCAGGTTAATCCTCAATCCTTTCCAGATGCTGTGTTTAATACAGGAAATGGGAGACAAGGAAACACTGAACTCTCTAGTCACATTATATATATATGAGAGAAAATATCCAGCCATTCAGAAAAGGGCAATTCACACTATGTATCTGTATGGATATTGTTGTCTGCATCCCCTTGCTTCCATCTCCTAATTTGGAAATTTGTATTTGAGGGCAACAGATCCAAAAGCTGCACTCCATCTTCAGGCAAAACACACAGAGGTCAGTCAAAGTTGTGTGTGCGCGCGCGTGTGTAGGATAGGGCTGGGGAACCTTTTTTTGGCTTGCTAGCCCACAGAAAAATCAAATAAAAGCAACTAAACATTCACTAAGATGGCCCTCAGGGGAGGGGGAAGCCTGAGCCACAAGGGCTTGATCCAGATAAGATGGAAGCCTTATCCAGCTCAAGCCATAGATCCCCCACCCCAGCGTTGGAGAGGCAAACTTGGTTTTCATATTTGGTGCAAACTCTATGCACACATTGATGGCGACACTCATTCTACTTAAGGCTTTTTAACTTCTAAAAGCACATTAAAATAAATTCTTGAATTACAACTATTACAAAATCAAACATGTATATAGTGTTTTGGTGTGGTTTTCAATAACATTAAATCTAAGTGAAGGTGTTACTACATATTATATTGTCTCCTTCCCATCTTCCTCTGGTCCTGCTCTTTCTGAATTATTATACAAGGATTGTGTGTGTGAGGGTTGAGATGAGCAAAAGTAACTACAGAAGATGAACAGACATGGACTTATGGGGCACAACTCTGCTTATATTAAGGGATCAATAGCAACTTTTTTTTAATACTGCGCAGAACTAGACTGATGTGTCTATTAATTGGAAATCAGGAGTGCATGTGCACACAGAAACAGAGGCTCAACTTGAGTTGAAATTAGAACGTGTGAATTGGAAAAGTCAACAAAACTGATGTTTTGCATTGAACAGCAAATTTAGTCTGAATATTTTAAGCCCCTTTA